ACCTAACATGGGAAGGGGAATTTGGGTCCATAGTATTCACTAACCCACTTGGCAATGATTTTGTCCATCATGATGCACCCCATGAAATACACCCATACTTTGCCAAGTCTCCAAATTCCCCGAAGTCCATTGGACTTCTCACTTCCCTTTCGGGATCCAAACCTTCTTGGTGCTCTTCATGTTGGAAATGATTTCCTTTGGCACCCAAAAGCGTTTGACCCCATTGTTGGCTTGCTTGTTCACCTTGATGGCCACCACCTTGTCATTTTTCTTCTTCTTTAACAAGTATGGTGTGGAGGCCTTCTTGTCCACCTTGTTGGTGTAGGTGTTGGAGAGCTTGCTTGTTTGCTTCTTCTCTTTCTTCTTTGCTCCTCCCCCATTCTTCACCTTGCACTCATAGGACTTGTGACCTTCCATGTGGCACACGTAGCAAATCACAGTTTGTCCTTCATCAAGCTTCTTCACTCCCTTGATGGTGTTATCTTGATGAAGTTGGGCTTGCTTCGTCTTGCCTTTCACTTGAGTCAAGTCCTTGGTGAGGCGAGCTAGTTCTTGCTTGAGTTGCTCATTCTCCTTTGCAACCTCTTGTGTGCATGTATCTACAACAACTTTCTCAACACAAACTTGGTTGCACAAAGATGAGTCTAAACATAAGTCATTACAAGAAGTAGAAGCATCCTTTTTAGGTATGTTAAAGATAGAGCTTTTCTTTTTAGATGCCTTGGTGGGGGTTGAACCGATGGCTTCAAGATTAGCAACTTTATTAGTTAGATCATCACAATGTTTGCACATGGTTTCCATTTTAGCAAGCAAACTTTTGTAAGCATCTTGTGATCTAACTAACTTTTCTTTTAATTTTTCATTTTTCTTTACAAATTGCTCATCATTGATTGTGCATGCATTTGTTGTTGCACTAGCCTCAAGTTGCTCAATTTTAGTAGATAGTTCAACATTGAGATTAGCAAAGTTCTCATATTGTTCAAGCAAAGTTTTGTATGCTTCTTGTGAACTATCTAGATTTTCTTTTAATTTTTTGATCTTCTTTTGTTGACTAGTGCAAACTTTAGCATAATTAAGATTTTGTTGCACAATTTCATCATAAGAAGGCATTTCATCATCACTATCACTCTCACTAGAGGATGAGCATTTGTTACCTCGTGCCATAAGGCACACACGAGAAGAGCTTGATGATGAGTGTTTGCTGCCTCGCCTCTTGTGATGGTGTTTTTCTTCACTTGAAGAATCATCGTATGACCTTATTGATGTGAGGGCTTGGTTTTTGCATGCCTTCTTCTTTGTCTTGGGTGTGGGCTTGTTTGGACAAACTTCCACAAAGTGCCCCAACTCGCCGCATCCATAGCATCCTCTCTTTCTTTGCTCATTTCTTTGATTGGTGAAGATGATATCTTGAATTTGAATGGGCACACCCTTGACATTGAGCCTTTGGATCATCTTCTCCACCTTATTGATTAGTTTGATTGATTCTTCATCAAGGTCAGAGGTGGAGGAGGAAGATTGATCATCTTCACTTGAATCTTCATCATCATCATCATCGTCCTCATCTTCTTCTTCATCTTTACTTGAGGAGCTTGAGCTTGAGCTTGTCTCAACTTGCTTGCCCTTCATCTTCTTTTTCTCGCTACATGCGAGAGCTTTGCCTTTGCTCGATGAAGAGGCTTCGTCTTGACCCATCTTACGTGATATTTCAAATGCCACTATCTTGCCAATGACTATGTCCGGGGTCATGGTGCTCAAGTTCTCCATGTTGTGAAGGATGGTGATGATGCTTGCATATTTCTTTTGTGGTAGCACGGAGATGATCTTCCTCACGATGTCTGCATCATCTAGCTTTGTTAATCCTATCGAATGGAGCTCATTGATAATTAGATTCAAACGAGAATACATATCACGAACAAGCTCATCATCATTCATTGTAAAGGAATCATAATTTTGTTTAGCTAGACAATGTTTTTGCTTACGGACATTAGATGTGCCGTCATGGATCTCTTAGAGTTTTAACCAAATTTCATGTGCCGTATTTAAAGTGAACACTTGGTTAAACACATCCATGCTAAAAGATTCAAACAATCAATTCTTAGCTCTAGCATTGAAATGTATTTCCTTTTCTTCACTCTTTGTGGGTTTATCGGGATTCTTAATGGGTTTCATTCCGTCACGAGTGACTCTCTAAACTCCTAAATCAACCGCCTAAAGGTAGCAAGTCATTCTAGCTTTATAATAGGGGAAGTTAGTGCCATCAAAGTGCGGAGGCCAAGAGGTATCCATCCCAACCACTCTAAATAGCGTCGGCTTAACGGTGGTTAAGCTAAAGGTCAAAATTGAGCCAACCTGGCTCTGATACCACTTGTAGGGGACCGTGACGCCTAAAAGGGGGGGTGAATTAGGCAACTTAAAATTCTAACTCTAAACTATGGCCTCTTTTTCTAACCTTAGCAAAATCTATGCAAACGATAAACTATCTAAATGTGCAACTACGATTTTGCTAGTGTGTTGTTATCTCTACCGCAAAAGGAGTAATGCAATCAATGTAAATGCGGAAGCTAAAGAGCAAGGTAGAGATATGCAAACTCCCGTCGACGACTCTGGTATTTTTACTGAGGTATCGAGAAGCAAGCAAGCTTCCCTCTAGTCCTCGTTGGAGCCCCTCACAAGGAATCCCTCGCAAGGGCCAAGCTCCTAGTCGGGTAACTCCATGGATAGCCTCGGGCCTTCCCCACACGCAAGTGGGTCTCCGACGTGCCTTTCGGCAAGCCTCTCCCGGATGCTCCCCGCTGTCTTCACTATCAAGCTTCTGGCAGAAACACCGCGGGCCTTGTTCCCTCCGGTACACGGTGGCGACCACACCACAAACGCAGTTGGTGTGATCTCACAAGACTACAAACCCCTCCGATGTACAACAATGGTGCGCGCAAGCACCGAGTAGTAAGAGGTATGCAAACCTCACTAAACATTAGGCCTAAACCTAGAGCAAGCGCATAAGCGGTGGTCTAATCAACCTAAGCACTTCGCAAAGTACCTACGCTAATCACCTAATGAATCACTAAGCATTATGCAAGTGGAGATCACGAAAATGGTGTATCAACACCCTAGAAAAGTTTCCTCTGCTCCACTCTCTTCAAATGGCCGGTTGGGGGTTGTATTTATAATCCCCACTGAGAAAGTAGCCGTTGGGGACGAAATCCCGCTTTTCTGCTACTGACCGGACGCGTCCGATCGTCCTGACCGTTGGAGCCACGATCAAATGAGCGGACGCTGCCAGCGTCCGGTCACATGCCACCGGACGCGTCTGGTCGTATTTTCACCGCTCTGGAACCTCTCTGTACTCGACCAGACTCTGCTGTCTTGCGTTCATTCGATCTGCCGCCAGCGTCCGGTCACTGCTGCTGCCGAGCCTCTTGATCGGGCGTCCGATCACTATGCTACCAGCGTCCGGTCACTTCTGTGAGCTCGTTTCTTCGCGATCTTGCATACGGCTTGATTCCTATCTTCATGCTTGGACTTTGCTTGATATCTTGGGTCTTCTCTTGTACTTCTAAGGTCTTGCTTATGGTGTTGATCATCGGATCATCACGTTGCCTTCGTCCAAGTCACATCTTGCACCCTATTGAACTATAAAACAATCACTTGCAAATTCATTAGTCCAATTTGGTTGTGTTGGTCATCAAACACCAAAATCTAAAGTAAATGGACTTATGGTCCATTTTCCTTACACGGGTGAACCACAAGACTGTCCGACTATAATTCATGAATTTTAACTCATGTTAACACTTACCTAACCACCCTATCACATACTTAGATACATGTTAGTACATCATTAATCCACACTTGGATCCCTTCCACAAACCTTCAATCTCGAATCACCTTCATGTGATCTTTATCTCTCAATCCAACGAGCTCATCTCCAACTCTTCTGATGCGTTGTAATCTTCCATGTCTCTCTTCATATGTGAGGAACGTATAAGGTCAAGTCGTGATCATCCTTTGGGACTTCATGACATGCAGGCAGCACTACTATTACCTCTATTTTGGATACATATTTGTCTACTCAATATGAGTCTTGCATTTCATTAAAGATGATTAACTACTTAATCCTGTCTCACTAAGTTAGACCAACTCACTTAAACTAATCATAGCCCCTTACTTAATCATTGGGCTTGGAACGTTTAATATGCTTAGTTGGCTAGTATCGATAGAAGTCGGGTGTGAGCAGGAACTCACTCTCGCGTGTGTAGGAACTTCACCGGGATTAAGGGTGCATTTGGCATGCAAAATCAATTCTAGTTCTTTTGAGAATCAGCAGAAATCGTGCCAAACAACATCGATGTGAAATGTTTCTAGCAGAAATGGTTCCAAGCGATTCTCACGTTTGTTCCTACGAATATGAATCGCTGAAAACGTGGTTTCACGGTGATTCTGTAGCCAAACGGTCTAGTAATTCTGATTCACCATCCAAAATGTTTCTTGAGAGAATCTAGATCTAAAACATTTCTACGAGAATCTAGATCCCTACCAAACGGGCCCTAAATATGATATTTTTAGACCTTGTTCGTTTCATGCCTGAACCATAAGGATAGAAGAGGATTTTGACTTGTAGGGAATTTAGTCACCTAAATCCTTCCCATTCCCCTTGGTTCTAAGATAAACCAAATAGAGCCTTATGGGGATAAGCGGTGAGATTGGGAGACTGCTGGAGATGCTCATCAGTTTCCCACAGATCACTGTCAATGTATACTTCCAAATGACATCTCTATAATCTTGAAATCTCCTTGTGGTTTGGTTTCTCATTTGTTGAGAAACGAACATTGGGCATCGCATAGAAAGTACACAAAATTCCAACCCGCTCACGGGCTCCAGCAGAGAGTTTGTGCAACATCATTGCCGTACAGCTCCGACGATACCAAGCCACAGGCTACAAGTTTTGAAGAGTAGCTACTAAAATAAGTAAATAGACAACGTTTCAAGACAACAAAGTTCTGTATTTACATTTCAAAGAACAAAGGTGATGTGGCAGATATGAGAAAAGGAATCGCTTTTAGGATACAAGTTACGACAAAATTTCTGTGACCACGTTTTAAACCTAACCATCTTCTAGAGTATTGCTTCCTCGGGGGTGCACCGCCATCCACATATCTGCAGAAATCCTTTGCAAGTTTTTGATAAAACTCAACATCAGACGGCTTTACACTGCTGATTGCAGACTTGAAATGCCTCATTGCTACTTCTTCCAAGTCAAAGCTCTCCTGTTCAAAAGAAATGAAGTAGTTTATCAGCAAATTTCTGATATGACCATGTTACCAGAGTGGGAAAGAATGAGTAGCATACATCAAGTGCTGCAACAGCAGCTTCCCTGCAGACAAGCTTTATGTCCGCACCGGTGTAGCCTGCGGTGAGTCTAGCAAGGTCCTTCAGATACACGTCGGGACTACATGGCATGCTGCGTGTATGAATCTGGAAAATATCTGCCCGGTCAGCTTTGTTTGGCGGTTGCACATCAAGCACCCTATCAAAACGACCTAGGTCATAACATCGTAATCAAAAGTCAGACCGGAGGATTGTAGGAAGCATTATATGTGAAACCAAACAATGCACTGTATAGACCTAATGAACAACCTGTCCTTAGAAGTGCAGGATCAATTTTGTCAGGACGATTAGTAGCTGCAATAACAGTTACACCAACTCTCTGGTCCAAACCTGTTGCCACCAAATAGTAAATTATGCATCATCAAAATTTAGAGACCAACAGGTGCTTGTAATGTAAGTAACAAAATGTGTCAGACAATAGTCACCAACATTCCAACTGCGGGTGAGCACGAGCAAATAGCTAAACACCAATTGATCAATAATTGAATGGAAACATCATTTGATGCTTAGCCAACGAAAAAGTTTAGTGACTAGTGTCAGTGAGTATATATAAGACGACTAGATTATAGCCTAAGGCAATTATCGGCAAGTTTATGAACAGCCATGATGCAACATAAGAGAAATTTCGTTTATGGGGTGACAAAAACTCACCATCCATTTCCACAAGCAACTGACAGAGGACTCTGTCAGCAACAGACGTGCCATCATTTTCAAGCCCATGAGTTACTGCAAACCCATCTATTTCATCGAAAAATAATATTGCTGGTGCATTAGCTCTAGCCTTTGCAAACAGCGACCTCACTGCCTTTTCAGAGTCACCGACCCATTTGCTGAAAAGTTCAGGACCCTTAACTGCAAGGAAGTTCAATTTTGCTTCAGAAGCTGCAGCGCGAGCCATCAGTGTCTTGCTGCAACCTGGTGGTCCTATCATTAGCAATCCACTGGGGGGTTTGATCCCTAAACGCTCAAATGCTTCTGGGTATTTCTGCGGCAATTGGATGGCTTCAATAAGCTGCTCCTTGACACTGGCTTGACCACCAACATCTTCCCAACGTACTTTCGGAACCTCAAGCATTACCTGTGCAGGGTATGATTGAGAATTGGCATCGCTTTTACACAGGTCAAATGCATATATAAAGGAACTGTAATAAAAGAAGCCAAAAGTTACAGAGTTCAAGCCTTGCAGGCGGATAGAAGTGATACCTCACGCATTGCACTTGGTCTAATTTTCATTTGAGCCTTCTGAAAGTCCCCATTGTTTACTAACAATATTTTTTTCATCTTTCTCATCATAAGACTTGCTAATTTTTGTGTTATTCCTATTTTCAGTGGGACCATCATCCAATGACATAGTTGATAAAGACAATGATAATGAGCTTTCTTGATAGCCAGGATGACCAGTATCTCGAATACACTTATCTACGCTAGAGTCAGGTTGACCAAGTTGTAGACTCGAATTTTCTCCTAGGCTGATGAAACGGCGAAGAGCAATCAATGCAGCCTCATTGCATAGTGCGGCTAGATCAGCACCCACAAACCCATGGGTAGCTAGAGCAATAGACTCAAGTTCCTCATTACTGAGAAAGTGGTGAACTCCAATTAGAAGGTGGCGAAGTATGTCCATCCTCTGTGCAGCAGATGGTACTCCTGCAACCCAGTGTGTAGACAACAAATCATGGTCAACATGGTTTTAGACTCAACAATATATCATTGGACAACCATGTTAACTCAACACTCTCAGTCACTTAAACTTGATACCAGCTATATATGCAAGCTAACCTTAGTTTAATATTGACGGCTACTATAAGAACATAAAAAATAATTACCTACCAGGGACAACGGAAGACAGAATACAATTCATTCCATTCCTTATAAGTCAAAAATATTGACCAATCCTAAAGGCATGATGCTACACTTCATACCTAAAGGCATGCTACAATTCATTCCATTCCTAATACATTCTGCATATCCATAGGTATTACTTTTATCTACAGGCATTTAGAGCATCATGTGTATGTAGACGAGACTACATGAACGGCCTTTTTACTTTAAAATATATGGACAGCATAGTAGGATTATACCTATCTCAATTTCTTTATCCAATCTTCCAGAACGCCGCAGTGCAGGATTGATACTATCAGGCCGATTAGTAGCCGCAATTAAGAGAACATGATCACTAGGACCTATCTCGTCCATCAGTTTTAACAGAGTGGCCACCATTCTAATAGACAACTCCTCGCTCCCTTCCTTCCTTGATGGAGCAATTGCATCCAATTCATCAATAAATATCTACGTAAGATAGATGCATACTAGTGTCACAAATGGCAACATGTGATGGGATACCAATTATAGGATACCGATATGTCAAATACATAGTATTGCTCCTTGCTAACTAAATACTTCAAACCTTATACAATTACTGATCTGCCCCCCTTGGTGTGAAAAGAGTAACTAAGTTTGGTTCATGAATTTAATTAGAAGATGTAACTTGAAGACTTCAGTGCTGCTATACAAAAAATTAAGTTGTTTGTATCATTAAAAAAAATACTGGTCACAAAACTCAGCAAAAAATGTTGTTATTTTTCCAATACAAAGGGGAGATTCAGCATTATAAATTACAATATTATCTCTTAAAGAGGTAACTCTAACAGGATTTTTCTTTGCAGTTGACATGACAGTAAAGATAATGCAGCTAAGCATTTGAAGAAAGTCTAACCACAGCAGGCGCAGCTTTCTTAGCTGAACTGAAAACATCATACAGAGATTGCTCACTTTCACCGTAATAATTACTAATGATCTCTGGTCCGTTGACTGTAAAAAGGTTGGCTCCTGCATCATAGGCACAGGAAGAGGCAAGAGAAGTTTTCCCTGTTCCAGGTGGACCATAAAGAAGAACACCTTTGTATCTGAAATTAATCAAAATGTGACAAAATTGAAAGAATGATTTTTTATGGAAGAATACAGGGGAACTGTGTATCTGTTTACGCAATACCTTGGCAGACCAATATGATCAGCCAGTGAAAATGAAATTATTCCTTTTATGATGGCTGACTCTTTAGATAACCCACCAAGCATTGGAGTATGATTGGAAACTTCATTTCTTTTGTCACATTCAAGTTCCAATGGTAAATCTAGCTTATCTGGGCGAAGCTTCTCTGTGCAAACAGAATCAGACAGATGGACTTTTGTGGTTCTATCAACAAGGAACGAAACTAGGGTTTCCCCAAAGTTAGCTGAGTCTTCTGCAGTAGACAGTGTATTCCCTTTCTTGCACAAATCACCTTGGGCAGAGCCATCAAATTCTGCTCCCATCACCACAAACAAAGACAATTTTCCGCACATTGAGAGAGGAACAAAATTCCCTTTTAGTAACTGTCTACCATTAAGCCACCGTTGAGCTGAAGTCTGCAACAACTCGTTAACTTCTTCATCTGCTAATGCTGATCTTGCAGTGGTTTGATCCAAGCACATTGAAGAGCCACTGTTGAATGAAAAGTACAAGGACTCCTTCCTATGCAGTGGAGCAGAAGGTATCTTCTTACATGTCTCCATAACCATTTCATTTCTTTCAGGACAACAGTCAGACTCTGATTCATTGCTACTGGCAGATCCAACCTCAGATGGAACTAGACTGAGGTAAAGATTCTTACATTTTATTACCCGTAAAATATCGGCACCATCACTATGCTTTGGGGTCTGATGTGTATATATGGTGCTAATAAATAACAGTCAACCTACTGAAGGGCATCCCAAAATACATGCAAGATCCCAAGAGAGCTTGACGCTATTCTTTTGAACCTAGTAAGACAACCCAGTTAAAAAAAGTTCGCAGGTTGTTACAGCATTTAGACAACAGGAGAAGAAAAATAGAGTAGACATACCTCACGTGAGGGGAAAACTGTGGCAACCACAAAGGTTCTCCCAGCTTCACCATACAGGAGATCATTGTCCACATCAAGACCAAAGAATCTCTTGCACTCCTCAAATAAATTGTCTAGAGGGAATCCATCTAATTGGTCACTGCTCAAAGACATCAGTGACACCTGAGAACAAGGAAACACACCTTGTCTTGGTCATTCATAGAAAGATACACAGAAAGGTATGAAACTTTGGTTCTGTGACATCAAAAGGTTTTGGTTCTAGAAATATACCATTGATCTTAACAAGTAAACTTAATACCAACAAAAGATCACACTATTTTATAAATACATCACTGTCCTGTTTCCATACATCCATCCATCCATCCATCCATCTTCTCTGTTGAAGTGCTTGTTTTTCTCCCCCATATCCCAGTTCAGTTCCTGTCACACAGACGGTATTCTTCCTTGGTCTATGGACTGATGGAAACAATGCTAAACTGCAATAGGCACATGGGCAGGCGGTGAACTGGAGTAGGCAGGTGGTAACTGGGGCAGGCAAGTGCTAGACTGAAGCAAGCTAGGTGCTGGAAAGAGGGCATGAGCTGAATGATTTTTTGATTTGCACTCGATTTCTAGACAGAACCTGGGATAACCCCTCATCAACTTCCAGAAAACCTAGGCAGATATGCAGGTTCCTTTACATCCATGCCTTGCTGCTCCGTTTTTACAGGCTGTAAAGCACAACACAGATGAACCCATCAACTACAGAATCATTCTCCTAAATTTCTCCTCTCTATACATCTATAAACAATTAGAAGGCATCCATGGAAAACAATAAGCATGCAAGAACAATGATAAACACAGCTGACGTACAGTAAAAAAAGCCTCCATTTGGATTGGGTGGGGGGTTAAATTTAGTGGCCTGCAGATTTGATTTGGGGTGTGGTGGCTTAACGCAGAGGAGGGCTATGGCGGCTAGCAGTGTGCTCCAGGATGGGAATTAGGTCTGCCGCAAGAACATGAACTAGGTATCCAATAGAGAAGACAGATGGATGGACACAAAAGGTGCGATTGGTTTATTTCTCAAAGGAGCTATCTTTTTTCAATGATATTAACGTGTAATCAGTCAGTTCAGTGGTATATTCAGAACCATTTTCCTAAAAAAATAAGAAAAATAAAAAGCAACCAATAATTTTGTACTTCACTGGAACTCTAAAGTTCAATTTGGCACATTAAAAACACACACGTGGGTGGGTGGACTCATGCCGACCGGAATTACTACAAATTGCTAAATGTCTGTCAAATTGGAGCTCATAAGACTGAAATGGTCTCCAGTGCCCTTGTGATAAATCCAACCTCCCAGTCACAACGCAAACATAAATTTGAGCAACAAACTGCACTTCCTTGAACTGATTCTGGATGTAACGAATCTGCCAAGCTGGTTCACACAAACAATTTGCAGAAACAAACAGTCCTAAGTCGAAGGAACAAGGGCTGAGGGACAAAAAGGTGAGAAAGCAGGAGCTTACTGAGACGAGGCACCCGGGCCGCATCCCGGCGCCGACCATGGCGGCCTCGGAGAGCCAGAGCCTCCCCAAGCCGCCGCCTCGGCTCCCAGCCCTGGGGGCCACATCGTCGACTGTGCCAGCGAGGCAGCCGGCGCCGCCGCGTGGCACGAGCGCCGGGAACCGCGCTGCGGCGGCGGAGGCGATGGATGGGAGGTCGACGCTTGTGCTGCCGCCGCCGCCGCCGCCGCGGTCAGGGGAGGAGCGAGAGGAGGGGGCGCGCGGTGATGGTTGCTGCCTCTTGCCCTTGGAAGGAGGCATGGCGAGTTGGCGACGACGAGAGGCTGTGCTTTTCTTTTCTTTTCTTTTTTATTTGTAAGGTTTATTTACTATGAGTCTACGACGGCTAATGCCTAAAGCCCGGAAGATGACGAGCCTCGGATCGGGGGTGGTCCGGTGGATGTGGATGTATATATAAATAAATAGACACTTAACTATCGGCGAGCGTGCAGGACTGCAGGCAGAGAATATGGGCGTGATTGGTTCGTTTCTCAGAATAACCTGGCTCGCACCACCCTAGCCAAGCCATACTTGGCCAGACTCAACCCGTGTTTAGTTGGGGACCCAAAATCCGAAATTGGGCCAGTTTTTGGAGTTCGGAACTAAACGGGGGGTGAAAAGCGGCCCGCGTACGTTTTCGGCATGAGGCCCGACGGCAGCCGCAAAACCGCGTGGCACACACACGTCGGCGAGCACGACCCTCCATTCCGCGTTTCGTCAACCCTAGCCCCGCTCTCCCCCTCAAGACGCATCTCGCCTCGGCGGTCCCGCCTTCGCCGCCGCCGAAGGTAGCGCGCGCGCTACGCCTAGATCCACCACCCGGCTACCAGATCTCACGAGAGGTGGCGCGATCTAGTCGGCTGCCGCGGCGCAAGGCGTCCTAGATGGACGGCTTCCCTAATGACGGCTACAACGAGGCGGCGGCCTATGAACTTTCGACGGCGGCTCGGCAAAAGAACGACGCAGACGCGAACTTCTGCGGGGGCTTAACCCGCTTTTGGGTTCGTCGGTGTCACGAGGGCTTCACCGACCGGCGCCACCCTTCACGGGGTCCAGCCGGCGTCAACCCTCCCACCGGGGCCTGGATTCCCCGGACCTCAATGACGGTGGGGATGGGGCGCCATGGGCGGCTCTGACGCCGACCCTCGGTCGAGACCCTGCTGGTAGCCGATGGGGCCACCTCCCGTTCGTGTTCCTCGGCGGCGGAACCTCACCTCGAGCAGCCTCCCCGCCCGCTTTGGAGGAGGCGGCGACGGCAGACGGGAGGTCGCGCCACATCGAAGTCGCTTGTCGGGGCGACCGAAAGTGCCACGCTGCCATCGTGGTCGCGCCTCCTTTCCTCCGCCGTCGGCGGTGGAGGAAGGGGCGGCGTCGCCGCCGTCCGTCAAGCGGTCATCCCATAGGTGGACGACGACATCGTCAACCCGATGCATGCTACCCCCATGGGTCACATCCCGTAGTTTTCCTCACCCATCGCTCTATCTTCCATTGCTCATGTATACTATTGTGTTCAAGCATTTGTTTTTCTCCCCAACTTAGCTTTGTTTCGTCGGTGTGAAATTATTTCTTATGAAATCGTTTAGGCTAGGACGAGCAGGGGAACCGGTCGAGCCCAATATAAGCAAGTTTTGCCAAATCTGGTGCCACCAAATTGATAGTGGCAATCGTATCCGCGCACCGCATGAACAAGTCGGGTGGAGAGATCGATTGCAAGGTACTATGCAAAGAACAACCTTGGTTCATGACAAGGACCAGTTCAAGAGTAAGTTACGCCACTCAAGCATTTGTGGAATTTTATCAACGACCTCCGGAAAGGCAATTTGGCTTAGGCAAAAGTAGACGATGGCTCCATCCTTACTCTTGATGCTTGGTGGGACTCTCGTGCGGGTGGTATGTAACCAATCTTATGTTCAATCATGTACTGTTAAAATGTTACTATACAATGATTCACCTATGCCGGTTTTTCAGGGACACCCGGAGTGGAAGAAGCTCAAGGACGGGTGGCCTCCGTACTTGGACGATTTGGACCGGATGTTCGCCGGCAACGCTGTTGATGGCTCAACGTCGTTCTGTCTTCCCAAAGCAATACAGTTGACGGTGAAAGTTCGGATGACGACTCCAATGATGAGCACGACGACCAACTTACGCCGCTTAGTGTCGGTACTAAGAGGGCAAGCAACCGACAAAGACCTCGCCCAGAAAATGAGCAAGCGGTCCAAGAGCCCGCTGTCAGGACCATGGATGCTCACATGAAGGAACACAATGAGATTTCAAGGCAGAGGCTTGAGAGGATGACAGCAATGTGGCAAGAGAGGAACCAAAAAATTGAGGACAACAGCAAGGCGCTGGAGAGGAAGGTGGAACTAGTGCTACAATTGGCAAGACAGTGTGGTGCAACTGAAGAGACCCCAGCTGAGTGGATGGCCGTGCTCAAGATCGTGCAGAGTGAGCCTGTTATGAACTTCTTCATAAGCTCCTCGCCCCAAGGAAGGATGCTGACGATTAAGCAATGCATCGGGGTCCTCCCCTAGACCTTATTTTGTTAAGCTTTCTACGTAGTTACTAAGTTATGTCATTAGAACTATGTGAGGTGTGGTGGGTGTCTTTGGTCATTGACCTAAGTATGTCATGTCGAACACTTGAACTGGTTATTTGTAGTATGATTGGATATGGCTATGATCTGTTGATGTATGTAGTGCATGAGTTTGAGTAACTGGCATGAGTCAGTTTGAATAGGGATGCATGCTAATGTTGCCTAGTTGATGTTGAAAACTGACGTGAACTGTTTTCGTTTTGACAGGAGGATGTCCAAGCAATAGTGACTGGGATGATGTCCTGGAGGCAAGATTGTTATGAGAATGATTTGGACGAGTTCATCAGTGACTGGATGGAGGCGGAGGATGATGACGATGCTTTCCTGTACGGTATGTACCAGTACGCCTACCACATTGACAAGCACTTGTCAAGGTCAGAGTATAGACAGCCAGTCATTAGTGGTTTGGAATGGGTACATAGTAAACTAGGAAATAGGAAGGCCTGTTATAACATGTTCAGAATGAGCCCTGATATGTTCCATAGTCTGCATGATGTGTTGGTAGAATCATATGGGCTGAAATCTAATAGCAAATCCGCATCTATTGAAGCCCTTGGGATGTTTCTGTGGATGGTGGGGGCTCCACAATCTGTTAGGCAAGCGGAGGACAGGTTTGAGAGGTCACTGGGGACTGTGCATAGCATGTTTCATAGGGTGTTGAAGTCTGTTGTCAAGCTTGCTGCTGACATCATTAGGCCTAATGACCCAAATTTCAGCACTATGCATGATAGGCTAAGAAATCCTAGGTTCTATCCCTACTTCAAGGACTGCATAGGGGCGATAGATGGGACTCATGTCCCCTGTGTGGTGCCTAGTGATAAGTTTGTGCAGCACCTGTGTCGCAAGGGGATGACAACACAGAATGTCTTGGTTGTGTGTGACTTCGACATGCGGTTTACATTCGTGTTAGCTGGCTGGCCGGGTTCAGTACATGACATGAGGGTCTTCACTGATGCGACAACAACATACAGCAACGTGTTTCCACATCCACCAACAGGTATACAATTAGTTGGTTATACTTTTGTGCATGCGAGTATAAGTTCGTGATACTAACTGTTGTTTCAATGTTATAGGCAAATATTACCTTGTGGACTCGGGGTACGCTAACCGACCAGGTTATCTTGCACCGTACAAGGGAACAAAGTATCACCTATAGGAGTACCGAGAGGCACCAGAACCACAAGGTAAAACTGAGATCTTCAATTATGCACATTCGTCACTTAGGAATGTCATAGAAAGGTTATTTGGAGTGTTGAAAATGAAGTGGCGGATGATGAAAGAAGTCCCTAGTTATGCCCCCCATATACAAAGTCAAATCATTGTTGCATGTTGTGCCCTGCATAACTTCATAAGGGTGAGTGGCATAGGGGATCGGCACTTTGCTCGGTGTGACTGGGATGACAACTATGTGCCGGCAGAAGCCGGTGCCGATCAGCCCGAAACTATTTCTCCAAGCGGTTGTTCTGATTCGGAGCTTATGAATGCATTTCGGGAATCCATCGCAATCGGTTTGGCTAATCGAACATGATTTGGTCGTCTTTTTGAGGCGACTGTGTAACTGTTAATTTATTTGGCTGTAATTGTATTTTTTTGTCCGACAAACAATGTAATTATTTGACTGTGTAACTATGTGCCGGCATTAGCCTGTGCCATTTCATTTGTTTACCAATAATTGTTGGTTTCTGTTCATTGCTGTGCTGTTGATGATGCTTCATGACCCCAGCAATGACATGCATTTGTTGACAATGGCTGGGTGGATGTAAAACCTTGCTTACTTGCATTCAAGTTCATGCATGCATGCCATTAATAAGCTGCATGCAGTTCATTAAATGGTGTACAGTAGGTTTTCAGATTTTGGGAACTAAACACCCCCTGAAAAGTTCTATTGCTCATATTTTGGGCTACTTCATAGCAACAGTACATTTTGGGATATTTTGCCAACTAAACAAGGGCTCACTGCATGCATCTGCAAATTGTTTGGTTGCTTGTCTCAGTATAGCCTGGCCACACAGGGATGGTGTTTGGTTGATAGTAGTGCATACAAACTTGTTTCTTTGGAGCCGAAAAAATGACCGCGCGTGTGCTCGCGTTGCATCGCTGCAGCCTGGCTCGATTGAAACGAACTCCCACCGTGTTCCTCCTCAGCCTGGCCGAGGGGGGGCATTTTGCATGAGCTGGGCCAGGCCCCAAACATCAGTCCAGGAAACCAAACGCATTGCACCTGCATGAGATAGGCCAGGCTGGTGCATACGCAGGGTACCAATCACACCCTATAACGCCCGCGCGCCTTCCTTATCTTCTTCCTCCAGCTCGCGCCTCTTCACTCCGCCTGACTCCGGCTCCGGCGGCCCGACCTCGACCCCTCTGGATCCGGCACCAGCGCCCCCGCCTCTACCACCTCCCACCGCCCCGTTGACCACCGCCTCCCCCCCCGGCCGCTAGTGGTAGGGTCTCGCCGGAGCTCCATGGCCGTGCCCGCGGCCGTGGTGCTCAGGCGAGACCCTACCGTCGATGGCGACCTCCTTCTTCCCCTCCCCCTCCCCGACTCCCTCCCTCATGCGGCCATGGCGAACTCTGGCGAGCTCCTTCGATGTCCAGCCATGGCGCCCCCGCCTTGACCTGGCCCGGCCTCCGCTACCACCGCCAACTCCCCTAAATCGCCCGCCAG